TGACAATAAATATATTTCATACGTTAAGATAATAATAGGTCCAATTTTCTTCAAGAATAATGAGTTAGTAAATTATAAAGAAAGTTAAAGCTCCCTTAAATAATTAAAACTTATGTCCAGATTTTTCTGCTTCCATTTCAAATCAATAACAAAGCTATCCAGCTATCTAACTGCTTTTCTATACTTTGTAGCTTTTTAGTACAACAAGTACAAAAAGTAACTGAAGCCTTGAGAAAGTGAAAACCTACCTCCACAGACGTGTCTTTAAATAAAGGTAAGAATCTCTCTTGAGTTCAGGTCAGAACACCTGTCTGTCACGCTGCTCTGCACAGTCACACCCAGACATGTCACTCCTGCTGCTTTTAACCTGCAGGGAGGCCACCCAAAGGGAGTGGCTTAACCGAGGCATTAAAGAAAACTCTTCTTTTTTTTACATTTCCGTCTCCATCGTCATCATTTCACTCTCAACCAGGAGTTTCTTTACTGAAAATAAACGTGAGTTAGGTGGAGAGCTGAAGGACCTGCTGTTCAGTTTGGCTGCTGAGGAAGCAGACCGTCTAACCCAAACTTAAAGTTTTAACACAAACTGCTCTGAACTATTGCCTCTTAAAAATGTATTAAAGTTTAATGAATATAAAGCAAGTTCAAGAGTTTAGTATCAGCTGCAGCATTAGAGTCCTGTTGATATTTTACCTCATTATGACTGACAGCAGACTTTGCACTTCATTTGCTGATAAAAGTACTAGAAGTTCAGGCAAGTAATAAAACTTCTATAAACATCATAACGTCTAACTTTTAAAGAAACAGKTGGGCTCTCACTAAAGCCTTAAAACTGTGACATTGAATAAAATGTTCAATAATTGTATGCTTTTATTGTGACAATCTTGCCAAGCATTTGGTAGAGTAGTCCTTATATTTAGTCTTTATATCTTATTGAAGCATACTTAAACAAAAATACATAATAAAAAAAAATCCACAGAAATAAATAAAAAAATTCACACTATAGTCATTATCACTCCAAACAAGTAAAAAAGAAAAGAAAAGAGGAAACAAAAAAACTCAGTTTCTTTTGAGCTGGACATTATCAGAAACGTTTTCAACACTCAGACATTAAGTTAAATGTTTTTGGATGGTGCGTGATGAGAAGTCTGCTGTTGGGAGTGTTGTGTTCATGGCCATCAGAGGAATGAATGTTGCAAAGCGCCCTTCATACCTGAGGTGGGTGGGTCAGCCTGGGACTGATAGGCGAGCCCCTCCCATCCACTGACAGTGCAGAAGGAATGCAGATGGCCCTGCAGTGACATAACAACCAGGATGAGCATTTTTAAAATTGAAAACTTTTTATTAAAAGATCAGGGAAGGATCGGTTCACAAAATCCATGGTTCACGGTTCAGTTTTTTTCTTTTTAATTTTGTAAAAAAAAAATATTTTATCTTCAAACTATCAATAGCATGTATATTTAAAATTATTGTGATGAGGACTTGTATAACTTGTATTCTCTCTTTGACGATATATATTTTTATGGATCAAAATGAAATGGTTCTTAAAAATAAACGATGTGRCRTTTTTCTTTTTCTTTTTTTTATTGCACTCATGTTTCACACAGATGAGACTCTTTAATTAGTCCTAAAAAAATGTCCGCAAAAATCAGACTGTCTTTACACTGAGACATGAGCTTTTAGAAAAGAAGAGAGCATTGCAGAACTAAAATGAGCATGGAGCTGAACTCAGCTGGGTTASAGTGGAGCACAAGGCATTAAATATGTGACAGACCCATGTTTGTAAAACATGACAAATTTACTCAGTTTAGTGATTCTTTTTAGAGTATTTTTTTCAAGTTGTGCACCTTCACTGATCTTCTATCAGTAATAAATCTAATAGTTGTTTYTTCTCACAACCTGCTGGTCTCACAGACCAGATGTCATCACTTCATCATATATCATCAAGCTACAAAGTCGGCCTATTTTTTCACAATTTGATAGTTTTGACTGTTCTACTATATTCAGGCACAAAGGTTCATCAGAGGTGGGTTGTGAAAAAGCCYACTGAGCAGTGACATGCAGTGAGGTTCATAGATGCTGAGGCACTCAGTTCATCAGAATCAGATTTACAAAAATATGTGAACCCTACAGAACAACTTAGTCATTAAAGGACTGGCTGAAGTTAATGAGTCATGTTTCATATCTTATATCACTTCTTTGCGCAAAATGCAACTCATTTGATGCACATTTCATTATCATTATGTCCTACCTTTACTTATAAATGAAGTCCWTGCAGCGCTCACAATATCCCATCTGAATTTAGATTCTGTCACAAGATAAAAAAAGGCATGGGAAAACCGTTTTTCTCAGGACATCCACACGGCCACTATTTCTGTTAAAGAAGACCTTTTGTGTCAGCTGTGTGGGTCTGATTTACCTGCTGCTTCTATTTAAAGTACAGTTYAGATAAAAGTTAGAACTTTTAAATATAAAATCCTCCATTCTAAAAGTCAGATTTGACAAGAGAGAAAATAAATAATGGATCTCTGCTAAACTTTACTTTTTTACTTTATATATTTGAAGTTTACAAAACAGGTACCAAACACGCTGCGTTTGGCTTGCTAACTGTAAATTTTTGTTAATTCTTCTGCAGCTCAGAGTAATCTCTCCTGCAGCTCATCCATTCTCTGAGCTCACTAGCGCCAGAGGGATCCAATACCGATTTCTTTTTGCAAAATGCAAATAAATTTGCATAATTTATAAAACTTTTTTTTACATTCTATATCTCATTGTTAAAATTAACCGTTATTGACTATTCATGTCTTTGTAGGAGCGCAACTTGAAAAATCAGCGAGGGATCAAATACTTGTTTCCTCCACTCATATAAAACGTTAGCTCCAGAATAAATAATTACATTACATTACTAATAAATATGTAGCATTAGCTCCTGAGCTAATAATTACTTTTAGCCCTTAGCAAATATTATTAGATTTGGAGCTAACAACATATACATGTGGGTGGCATACGTTCATATATAAATTAGCTCTGGAGCCAAAAGACTGATTGTAGTGAACAGCTCTTTAAAAGAAACAATTTCTTGAGCCATAAATCCCAGCTCTGTTATTCGTACAATAAAAGCATTTTTTGTTTGTTTTCTTTTGTTTTCATTTAGTTATAAAAGAATATTTGCCACTTTTGGAATTAGAGGCACGGTGGCACAGCTGTTGCCTCACAGCAAGAAGGTTGCCGGATCAAATCCCAGCTGAGGACCTTTGARGGTGGAGCTTGAATGTTCTCTCCATGCATGTGTGGGTTTTTTCTGTGTACTCCGATTTCCTCTCAAGGCAAACACATTAATRTTAGTTTAATTTGTAACTCTAAACTATACCTCGGTGTGAGTGAGAGAATGGTTGTCTCATTTGTCTTTATGTAACTTTGTGATGGACCAGTGGGCATAATTTGTGTGTGTGTGTGTGTGTGTGTGTGTGTGTGTGTGTGTGTGTGTGTGTGTGTGTGTGTGTGCGCCCAATAATTTGAATATACCCCCCCCCCCCCAAAATGACATAATTTGCTCTAACACAATAGAAATTAACTGGTTAAGTTCACAACTCTATTGTTGTCTTTAGGGAACTTTGACATGATTTCAACATTTATTATGTCATATACGTTTAAACAGAACTGTTGAAAATGGCATACATTTCTCCTTGGAAACTGTGACGCTTTCAGGGACTGCTCAGAATTCCAAACTTCCCGAGCTAAGATCTGTGATGAACGGATTTTCAAAGCCGTGCTTCCTTGACAGTTTTATGTAACTGTAAATGAATTACAGGCAAAGCTGCTGGTTAATATAGCAATAAGTGTTAACTGGACCGGCACCAAAACCACAAGCCTTAAAATGCTAATATATATATATATATATATATATATATGTAAAAAATACTGACAAATCCAAATGCACATACTTCTGAAAAACTGCTGTCAGCAACATGCAGTATTATCTATAAAAACACACAACACATTTTGTGGTAATTCTGGAACAAGTGCATCTTTAATTTTGCCCTTCACACCTAACCTTTGGTAAGTGAAGGTATCACATGAATCTTTAACTCTGATTGGCTCAGAAAGGGGAAAATAAACTGCCACCCTGTCCCCCTCCTCTGACCCCTCCAGATTGAGATCAGGACAGTCAGCTCCTGCAGCTGATGACTTCTCTTTTAACACCAAATTCAGCAATTTTTATATAAAGGAACTAATATTACATTGCAGGAATACAGACTATAYGATGAGAAACATAACATTAGAATCCATAATCTTTATCTTTAACAGTAGAAGGAAAAAAACTCTTAAAAATCGTTTCGTCCTTTTCTCTTTGACAGAAATAAATCAAATTCATCCTGAAACAAATCATATAAAAGAGGTTAATTTTACCAGATTACATACAATAACAATGAGTTTTACAGCGTTTAAACACATTATCAGTGGTGGAGAAAGTACTCAAACACTGTACTTAAGTAAAAGTACAGATAAACAGACAAGAATGTACTCTAGTAAAAGTAAAAGTACCACATTAACATTTTACTATGTATTCCCTAATGGTCTACAATATCATGAAGTGTGCCTACTGTATGTATATTTTAATACATCAATGGTGCCATTTTAGTG